GGGGGGGGGGGGGGGCGTAGAGATTAAGTTCAAGGTGTATTGCCATTAGGATACAGATTCTTTACAGGCATTCACTGATGGTTTGTAAACTTGCTCCTGAATGAGATGGATCAAACTGTGAAAAGAATTCTACCATTTTTATTTTTATGTATAGTATCTTAGCATAGGGCTACATTGTTGGGTTACCGCAAGACCTGGGTAAGGGGCAGCACAGGGTTGAATTGTTCTAGAAGCAGACAAGGGACCATGGGTCTACATTATTGTCACAGATGTGACTGTGTAACGTAGACATACTTGAAATAACTGTAAATTGTCTTATGTACTGATACCTGCTTTTGAGAAAGTAAATTAGCTTGCTCTGAGCCCCATGATGCCTTGCCTATGCTGTTACTAGTGGCAGTTTTAAACCCCTGATGAGTTTAAAACTACTATGGTCTCTGCACTACACATTCAGTTCTCCTGCCACAGTGTTAGTCATACCCTCAAGAAATATATCAGGCCCTGGTTTCCTCTTGCTTAGGAGGGAAGTAATTGTGTTAGTCCTATACCTGGCATATCTTACTTCCTACCTTTGAATTAGCTGGAGGAACAAGACAGAGCTCTGCATATTCCTTTTCTCTGTACCCACCTTGAATAGGGAGAAAGGAGAAGCAAAGTGCAAGACAGTCAAGGCGCTGCCCTACAGCTACAGGACTACGAGTCCAAGCCTTGTTCCAGACTTGTGCTAAAGGCTGCATCTAGTCCAACCAGTTAAAAATATCTTTGTGCTTGCTTAAGATGCAAGGGTTGCCCAGTGAAATGCTTTCACCATCATTCCCTTGTATGTTGTTGTCCTAACCATGCTTGTCTTGTGCTGCTCTGAGAGAGTAGTAATGACTCTGCATGGGCTGTTCTCCTTCCAGGGCAGAGACTGGTGTGGTAGGCCAGAGGCGAAATAAAGATGCTCAAAGGCCTTTTAGAGGTATTCTTCATGCAGTATAATGTGTTAAAGAACACAAATTCACTTTTTAATTTTTGCAAGCCCTTAAAAAGGAAAAAAATTCACTGTTTTGTCATTCAAGACCATTTTACATCTGGCTCTATACATCTGAGCATATAATAAATTTGCTACTAGCAGATCACAGACTACTAACTCATTATTTCTGATTTGGATATGATGTTTTGAAATATCAGTGAGGCCCCAGTCCAGCAAGCACATATGCATGTACTTGACTCATGCTCAGAATCGTGACATGGGTGTTCAGCATATGCATACATGTTTACAGTAGGGTTGAAAATTATTGCTCATAAAACATTATGGATTTAAAGCTGAAATTTGGTGTTGTTGACTGGTGATCTGCAAATCATTAAACTACCTGGTTGCTACTTACTTACTGCTTGACAGGCACTAACAACTGCTTCTTGCTACTGACATGCAGAGTAAAATATTTATTTGCTTAGATCTGGTAGATGGTTTATTATGTATTATTTGATACATGTGTACTTCCTTTTTAGAATAACATCAGACTTACTTTTGATATTTACTGAACATAAATACAAAGTATTATTTGTAGTATTTTAAATTATTATGAAATAAGAAGAAAAGTATTTACTTTCTTGAACTAATTTACTGCCATAGATTTACTTGGGCTTGATGTAGCTTTAATTTAAAATGTTTTATGAAGAAAAGTGGCAGTTAATTAACACATATGCAGGAACAATTATCTAAGTGTTTGTTTAAGAAACATCATCTTTGCTAAGTTATAATAGAAATAGAACCTAATTAAAGAAATGTCATTGAAGGGGCAATTTAGTATTATTTTACTTATATTAAATTCTATATTCAGTTAGTGGGGGTGACAGGCATTAACCCAGTCAGTCAGGATAACTTTTGGAATTTAAAATAAAATAAATATCCATAATTTATGCTCTGAGAATATAACTTGCAATTATTTTTCAGGGATTTCCCCCTTCCTGTAGGAACCTCTTGATATGCCTGTATTTTACACAGCACGAGTGGGGGCACAGGACTTGTTATAAATTCACTGACACTCATTTCATCTAGGTTTTGGGAACTAAAGTCATGGGAGTAGTTCCTGTCTTACTCATGCTCTCTCTCCTGAATAAATTCGAAGAGTAACTAAATATAATACTACTTAAGAAGGATCACTGCAAAATCCTAGAAACACAGTATTGTGATTGGAGGTCCACCTTGTCTCAAACCTGTTGAGTCTTAGCTGGAGAACTGTTTGGAAAATGTAGGCTTTTTGTGTGCATACAATCTTGAATTTTCAGTGAAATACTGAGACCTGAAATATTCTCATTCATGTTACTGCAACTCCTAGCCGGAGTTGTAACTTATGTACTACAATGTTACAATTTTCTTCTACAGAATGAGCTCCCTGTTCATCTCATTCTCCGTTGGTTAGTGCATCATGACAACTGCATAGCTGGGGAGCATCATGGAAAACTGAAGTCCAGCTGGAGAGTCTATCCATAGAGGGGAATGAGGGCTAGAGGCATCTAAACCACAAACCCCATGACACTATAGCTGTAATTCCGACTCAAAATATTTATGTTTGAAATATTTAGTTTTTCAGCAATTGACTTCTACTCCATTGCACTAGATGCTGCTTAAACATACATCCAAATGAAGGACATTGTCCCAAAGCTTGTATGCTCTTAAGATGGGTGATCAGAACTGAAAATATCACAGCAGTATTTAAAGTGACATATGTATTGTTTTTAAAGCTATGAATTAACTGTGACCTACCACATAAATTTACTGTGTTGGCTTAAAGAAAAGTGACCTAAAAAAGACTAAAATGCACATTTTATTTTTTTATAACATAGAATAAAACTTTAAATATTTCTGTTAAATATAAAAGATGGAAGTTATGTTCAATATCTAAGACCTGTCATTCTACCCTGAATGATCCTATGGTGAATGGAAAACTGGTAAGATTATGGCTTTTTGTAAGATAGACTGCAAGACTTATTTACACTGTTAAACCACCCCTTTATTTATTATTTATTTTGGTTTGATTTTTTGTTTAACTTCTGTGCCAAATGAACATTTAGCTGAAAGGATTCTCTATTAAGGTGTAAAAACCTCTTACAGTTTCAAGTGTAAATGTTCACGACACACATCTGAGGGCTCCAGAATTCCTTTAGGAAAACCAGAGGACCAGATTTGATATTCTGATTTCTAAAGTAAAAACTTACTAAATATTTTTAGCAAAACCCTTTCTAGCCAACTTAGACTTCAAACGAAGCAGAAACCATATATAATGTAATTTAAAAATTCATTTGCACATCACATTTGAACTCCTAACTATAATAAACTAAAAATTATTTTTGACAACATTGCAGCTACGTGACACAAAGTATGACTTTTCTTTGAAGATTTTCTTTAGATACCTACAAACCCATGTAACTGAACTGAACCAGATTTAGACAAAAGCTATGTTGCAGCTTCAGAACCAGAAAAGTGTAGCTGCTCCATTTCCACCTCTTTTTTTTGTGAAAAGCACGTTACTGTCAGTTCAAGTCTTGATGTAGACTTGAACTACAGAGACATAAGACTGTAGATTTTTGCTACTGGTAAGTGGATCAAAGGCTGCTGCTGAGATGAAAATCATCATCCCTACATTTGTGTGAGGCATCTCTATGGCCTAACAACTAGTAACATATATTATAGCACACAACAACTTTTAGAAATTTAATCTGTTTTTCCCCCCTATCAAACCTCATTTATCTCTTCTTTAGTTGTGCAGTACTGGAAGTTGTGTGACAGCTCCTCTTCATATTTATCTGCTTTGGTGCTCCAGTTAATGCTGTCATTCTCAAGTGTAGCCAGTTCCTGCTGTAGGTTCTTTACATAAACGTTAAGGCAGCACTAAAATGAAAGCAAGAAAGACAAACAAAGAAAAGGAAATTAATCTGGAGTTTCATCTATGTCCTATACAATATTGCCAACGTATAACTTCTAAGGTACTGTATATTGTTTAAAATATGTAATACTCCCTGCCTTATCATTGGTTTATTCAATTTAAAATATAATTTTCTCTATGAAAGAATGTTTATTTGATCACAGGTAAAAGTAACCATTAGAACTGGATTAAGGCATTACTCCTAATTTATAATAAGGGGATACATATAGTTGCTACACTACAGGAACTGTCAGGAGAAGGAACTATGGCTCAGGGCCCTTCTAGACATTCAGGTAAAACTAAGATAGGATCCAATGCACAATCCACAGAATTGTGCCTCCTGCATTGCCACATGTCCATGGCAAGAGGCATGATTGTGGGTTCCAGCATTTACCTTCACACTTTATCACACCTACTGTACCTTATTGCTGGTGTACCGGGAGCCAAGGATCAGAATCCCAGGCTTCCCCTGCCCCAACTCCCACTGCTGTAAGCCCCGCAGCTGACAAAACTTCCATCTGTGGTACTGCTCCATGGGCTGCTGTGGATGGGAGTCCCACCAGCTGATGAGTCTCCCACCTATGGCAGCCCAAGGGATGGTGCTATGGCTGACAGTCCCCACCATGCATGGTGCATCCCTGCAGCTAGGAGTCTCTATCAACTGACAGTCAGGTGATGGGGCTCCTAGACATGGGGGCATAGCTATGCTACATGTGCAAATGGGAGGGGCAGTCAGCCAAATCCAACCATTCACATAGGCTCTTAACCTGCGTACAGAACCTTCACCTAATGCAGGAGGTATATGGTCCCACTAGGGTGAATGCCTTACTGGACTTGGTGTTGGTCACAGGGGACGACCTTGTAGGGGAGCTTATCTGTGGTCACTTTGGGGACAGTGACCATCAATTAATAGAATTCACTATATGGTGTAGGGTGGGTAAGATACCTAGTAGGGTGGAAGTGCTTGACTTTAGGAAGGCTAACTTCAGGGTGCTCAGAAGTTAGTCAATGACACACTGCAGGATAGGAGTATTGGAGAGATGGGAGTCCAGGAAGGGTGGTCATTCCTAAAGGAAAACATCCTTAGGGCGCAAAGGGAGACTATACCTTTGTGAGGGAAAGTGGGCAAAAGGGCCAAAAACCTCCTTGGCTAAACAGAGAAATCTGGGTAAGCCTAAGGGCAAAAAAAGAGGCATATAGGCAGTGGAAGCAGGGGGAAGCTACCAAGGAGAAGTATACCTACTTGGCCCACACTTGCAGGAAAGCAGTTAGAAGAGCCAAAGCAACCATGGAGCTGGGGCTGGCAATGGAAATTAAAGACAACAAAATGTCATTTTTTAGGTATGTAGGGACTAAAAGAAAGGCTCAGGGCAGCATAGGACCCACTAATGAATAAATAGGAGCAGTTAGTGACAGATGGGGGGACAAAGCTGAGCTTGTCAGTGAGTTCTTTGCCTCAGCGTTCCTGAATAAGGGTCAAGACAAGTCCCCAGATGGGTTCTTAGATGGGCATCAGAAGGACACCAGTCCACTAACTGTTGATGTTGACTTGGTGCAGAATCACTTGGATGGACTGGATGTGTTTAAGTCAGCGCACCCGGATGAGCCGTATCCCAGGGTACTGGAGGAATTGGCCAGTGTCGTAGCAGAACCACTGGTACAGCTGCTTGAGCACTTATGGCACGTAGGTCAGGTCCCGGAGGACTGGAAAAGGGTCAGTGTGGTCCCTATTTTCAAGAAGGGGAGGAAGGTAGATCCAAGTAATTATAGGCCAGTTAGTCTCACCTCGATCGTTGGAAAAGTCTTTGAAAAAACTATTAAGGATCATATTTGTGGGAGTCCAGTGGGAAAAATAAAGCAGCAGGGCAACCAGCATGGGTTAGTAGCAGGTAGGTCATGCCTGACTAATCTCGTCTCTTTTTATGACCAGGTCACAAAATGCTTAGATGCAGAACTAGAGGTGGATGTCATTTTCTTGGACTTCAGGAAGGCCTTTGATATGGTATCTCACCCCATTCTCATAAATAAATTAAGAGACTGTGACTTAGATGTTTACACAGTCTGGTGGGTGGCAACCTGGCTTGGGGTTCACACCCAGAGAGTGGTGGTGGATAGGTAGGACCTAGAAGGATCCTAGGATTGACCTGGAAGGATGTGGGCAGTGGGATCCCACAGGGCTCAGTCCTTGGACCTGTACTCTTCAATGTCTTCATCAGTGACTTGGATGTGGGCGTGAGGTGTACTCTGTCCAAGTTTCATAGATTTCTTAGACATTAGGGCTGGAAGGGACCTCGGAAGATCATCAAGTCCAGCCCCCCACCCAAAGGGCAGGAAGTCAGCTGGGGTCATAGGATCCCAGCAAGAAAGGCATCCAGTTTACTCTTGAATGTGTTCAATGTAGGTGCTTGAACCACCTCCAATGGCAGGCTATTCCAGACCTTGGGGGCTTGGACAGTAAAGAATTTCTTCCTTATGTCCAGCCTGAAATGGTTTTGCAGTAGTTTATAACCATTTGACCTTGTCATCCCTTGGGGCACCCTGGTGAACAAACGTTCCCCCAGAAACTGGTGGTCACCCCTGATAAACTTATAGGTGGTCATCGGATCACCCCTGAGCCTGCGCTTTTCCAGGCTAAAGAGCCCAATGGCTTGCAGCCTGTCTTCGTAAAGTCTGTTTTTCTGACGTCTGATCATGCGCGTGGATCTTCTCTGGACTGTCTCAAGCATCCTTCTCCACATCCTTTTTGAATTGTGGAGCCCAAAACTGGATGCAGTACTCCAGCTGCAGCTTCACCAAGGCCGAGTACAAGGGGAGAATG